ATCAATAAGAAATTTAAAGCAATAAAGATGCAAATATACCTTAGCCTTGAAAACTGCCTCTGACATGTTAGCTGGGAGGAATAGTCAGTACTCTCATCTTTCTGTTTTGATCCCGAGGCTTACGAATGCCTTATTTTCCTGAACTTTCTTTTCTTGCCCTTAAAAGTTGTGCTGAATACTTGTGCATTGTGGATCGCCCTAAAGGAGAGGATAGCTGGGGCAGGCTTAACAAGCAGCTTGGGAAAAAAAAAAGAAAACTCCTTCACTCTCCTTTTTGTCTGAAAAGATTTAGTCTGAAATTTTCTCTGTATGCCCATAGCAAAGGAACGACTCTCTCTCCATCCCTGATGGAGCCGCTGAGTTCTGTTCAGCCTTGAGCATTCTAAACAATGACTAGAGCATCCATAGAGTGTGTCACATTTAGGAAGGGGATTAAACACCGCCTTTACGCTTCTGTAAATCTGATACCTTCCCAATTCAAACCGGGTCTCTTTCTTTGTCTGCTAAGGCTGGGAAGGCAGTGGGAAGTTGCATGGTGGGATGCACGTTTAGTTAAACAGGAGTGGATTGGATTTCTTTGTTTTTCTAGTGGCCTTGAGTGTCACCGTGGATGGAACCCAGGATGTTGCTTGTGCGAGGCAGGCGCTCTGCCACTGAGCTATATTCTCAGCCTGGGGTTAACTTTCTTCATAAGACGTGGAGGAATGTATTACTGAGTCATTCTCTTTTTCATAAAATGTTCAAATGGCAGCAGTTTCGTAGGATTCCCCCAAACATGTGCAATACTTAAAAAAAAAACAGTCCCCGCTAAGCCCCTGTTTTCAAGCCCTTTGGATTCTTTTTTCCTGGCATTTATCCTAATTGTGAACTCTGCTCCAGCTGATGCCACCTAGGGGCTGGGGACAATCCTAGAGGCTGACAGGGATTACAGATCAGGCTCACTGACTTGAATCCACTAATTGGAAAACTCTCACTGATAGGAGTAGGCTCTGACCTACAGGTGTGTCCAGCCTTCCTGCATGGTCCTCTACAGTAATCTCACCCAGGGACCATGCAATAAAGTTACAAAATAATCACCAAGGACCCCTCTATGTTTTAAGCATGTTTGCAAATTGGGGCATCAGAGCTCTCCTGGCCTGCAGGCCTCGGATTTTGAGTCGAACATGTGTGGATCTAAAGAAAGCTGCCGTTTCCTTTGGGACACTCCTCACTAACTTTTTGAGTGAAGCTATTTTTTCCTTCTCTTCTACGTCATTCTTTTCAAATTACTCATGCGTATGGCTTGGGCTTTTGTTTGCCTTCTACAGAAAGAGACAGTCTATGGGAAAAAACATAAAGGAGTTGAAAGGCCATCCTCACACCTGTTTCTGACTGCAGCTGTGGAACCCAAGCCTCCTAAACCGTGGTATATCTCCTGGTGCGGCAGTGGCTCTGGCCAGTGAGTCTCTGAGGCTCCTCTGGCTCCCATCACCCGAACTATACACTTGATATTTTCTTTTTTATTGTTTTTGTTGAGCTATATATTTTTCTTTGCTCCTCTCCCCTTCCCCTCTCCCTTTCTCTCCTCTCCCATGATCCCCACACTCCCAATTTACTCAGGAGATCTTGTCTTTTTCTACTTCCCATGTACATTAGATCCGTGTATGTCTCTCTTGGGGTCCTCCTTGTTGTCTAGGTTCTTTGGGATTGTGAATTGTAGGCTGGTATTTCTTTGCTTTAAGTCTCTAAAAGCCACTTATGAGTGAGTACATATTATATTTGTCTTTCTGGGTTACTTCACTCAATAGTATGTTTTCTAGATCCGTCCATTTGTGTATTTGGTATTATCTTATTGCTATTTGTAATGTGTTTGTTGGAACATGCACACAAGGTGTACACCCTGTAAATATGCATAATCTGTGTAGGGAAAGAAGCCTCATGTCTATTAAATAACAATGGAAGTATCCTGCCCTGTTAATCATAGTAAATCACATTGATTGAGCACTTTGAATTACCCAATACTAGCCTAAGCATTTTCTTGTTTTCACCATACAAAAACCCACTGAAGGAGGATGTAGTTACCTCCAAATTGTAGGAAACTAAAACATGGCTGATAAGAGATTGACAAGAAGTTCCATGGGAGTATGAGCCTACTCAGCTCTAGGCGCCAAGCATCTCACTCTTCTCTAGAGCGGTTGTTCTGTGTCAGGAGCATCTATTTACCCCAGGTATTATGTTTCCTTGGGTCCCTCAGTATGTTAAAGACACAGCCTTTGGGAGAGATTCCCAGAGTTTTGCTGGATAGCTAGGGTAAATTATAATCTACTTGAGAAATCATTTACTTTTAGTTTCGGATTAAGGGCACGGTTTCTTTCATTTGACCACAGAAACTTCTCAAAGACACACTTGACACATAGGCAACAGGCAAATTAGGTATAAATTGATACATTTATAATTTAGGCAGAAGTTTTGTTTTCCAAGTAAGTGAAATTGCACTTGCCTCTTCAGAGCTATTTGGTGACTTATTAAATGCTTGCTGTCTTGCTTTCTCCACCCCATTGCTCGTGCTGCAGGGTAAAGGTGCAAGCCATAGCCTGTGCTTCTCTTGTGCATGATAGGTTTCTGAGTGACACCATGAGCTTGACAGGTTAGCGTTCGTGCTTGTTGTTAACTTTATTTTCTCCACAACCCTCTGAACTGTACTAGAATCCTGAATTTTAGCCTCCCAGTCTGCCTGAGGAGAGAGTTCTAAAGTGGTGGCCCTCTCTCCTTCCCTCCATTTCTTCCCGCCATCTCTCCTTCTCCATCACCTCTTCGGCTGCTCTCTTGAGACCTGTAGCCCAGATCCCACAGTGTATTCATAATGGGGCCGTGTTGGCTTGACTTAGCACTTGCCTTTTATAAAGAAATGGTTCAAATGATGAGAGGGGCGAAAAGTAGCGTGCGCAATGATTTTGCCTCTCAGGGAGGTTTCCATGAAATGGTACATTTTCCTCAGGAAGACCTTCCAGCAGTAAAAGAATGCAAAGGTCCTTGGGCACAGAGTCCCCCAGAGTGACGAACGTCTCTGCAACACAATTCACACTGGGGGGCTTTTAGGCAAATCAGAGGACCTCTTAACAACCATCAGTGAGCCCAGGTGAGGCAGGGTTGAATTAATGCCACGCTCTCGGCTGCCATGGGAGCACATCTGGTTTTGTTCCATCCGGTCTGGTTTTGTACTCCATGCCCCTAGAAACATGGGGACTGATCTGTTATTCTTCATCTCTCTGTGTGGTTTCTTCTGCTCTAAGAGTTCCTATTGATCGGTCTGGCCCACAGGTATTTTAGAGTCATGATCCCTACTGTTCTCATTACACCTCGTCCTCCACGGAGGGACAAAATAAAGGACGGAGATATAAGATCAGGAATACTGTGGAGCTGGCCTTTTAGTGTAATGACTTGAGCCAGCTGTGATTCTTAAGAAACACAGCTGTTATTACGAACATCATCCCTAAGACGTAGTTGATATTGTTCTTTCAAAGATGGGTCAGCCACACTTTTAAAAATGGGTAACTAAGAGTGGTTTGGTTGTTTTTTTTTTTTTTGGTTTTGGTTTTTTTGGAGGGGGCACATAATTCAACATGAATTGAGCTGAAACTGTGGCATGCTTTCATTAGCTAACACCTGATCTTTATCACACATACCCTCCTCCGAGCTCTAGTGTGATATGGCACCTCCTTGGGCCCAGAAGTTATCATAGGAAAGATCATCATAGCAAAAGAAGTCGAAGCAATTCCATTTCTCTTTCTCCCATTCCCACTCAGTCATAGTAACAGCTGGTCATCACAGGAACCCAAAACTCCAACCATTCTGTATCTGTCAACTCATACACCAGCTTCTCAAGTTGTGGCTCTGTTGCCAGGGGCCCCACTATCAATCTGATGGAGGTTCTTTTTATAATTATTTCTCTTCTGTTGAGGTCATAATGCAATTACATCATTTTCCTCTTCCCTTTCCTCTTTGGAGGTTCTTCATTGGCCTTTCAGAAGACAAGTGATATAGGTCATTGTTCATCTGGCTCCCCCCTCCCCACTGCAATTTCTTTGTATTATAAAGAAGATCTGCTGAGAATTTTGTGTGGTCGCTATCTTTGAATTCCTCCCTAAAGTCCTCAGACTTTGAAAACCTTTATTCTGGGCCATGGTTCTGTATGAAAGTAAGAGTTGTCAAACTGTTGGTATGCCTTCTGCATCCTCCTGGTTAGAGTCTTTCCTCTCTTGCTGAGAAGATGAGAGTCAAGGCCACACATCCAACCATGGTTCCTTTAAAGGTCATCTATTTAGGGTGATGGAGACAGCGCTGACTAATGAACCCAGACTCTAGCATAATGTGAAGACTTTCGATCAGTCTCTCGGGCCTTTTCCTTTTCTTGGGAAATTATATAATCTTACCCCATCTTTAACTATTTATCTTGTATCAGCTATCCAAATATACCCAATAATGCTCTTTCTGAAAATATGCCAGTTGCTCTAATCACAGCTAACCTGGGATATTACATTGTGACGTCTCTTTCTTAGACATTGTAATGCTATCCCCCAAAGCATATCCTTGGTGCCTTTACAGATTCTATTTTAAAGATTTCAGTAATGCTTGTCTCGTGTACTGAGACTTTTACTGATCCCGTCCATCTCCTAAAACGTTGGTGCAATTCTTGTGAGTTGATCCAGTCTTCACACCGTGTCTCGTCATGTTCTCAGAAAGTTTTAATGATTGACGTGTTGTTTGCATGTGCTCCCAAAAGTCTGGGTTAGTGTCTGTGTGGAATTCATTTTGCCTGTTGGGCCAAGTTGCTAATTCATCAGGCACACATCTGGTATACTGGTACTACCTTCAGTTTCTTAAGCAAGACTGCCTTTTGTAAGTAGCTACAGTGGATCAGTTAGCATAGGCTTAGGGCCTCACCAGTCCTATTAACCCCTTTAAACAGCTCTGGAAAGGTGAAGCTTTTCAAATTCCAGCCTTCATGAGAAAAGAGTGAGAAAAGGCTATCAGTGACAGCTTCACAGTGTTGTTCTCATATCTAAAAGAGCTAAAGGGACCTCATTTTAATTCAGCCAAAGATTCCTGGGAAGAAGGAAGTCGGTGAGATTAAGAGGGGGATGTGAGGGTAACGGGGAGTGAAAATGACCAAAATATTGTATATCGGTGTAAGGGATTGTCAAACAATAGCAAAGAAGAAAGGAAGGAAGGAAGGAACGAAGGAAGGAACGAAGGAAGGAAGGAAGGAAAGAAGGAAGGAAGGAAAGAAGAGAGGGAGGGAGGAAGCCTTACTTCATGAAGTGTAACAAACTTTTGTCTCTGTGTGGACTGTGAGTTTGTCAAGCACATGCAGAGCCTTGGAGATACAGGTGCCATTGGCCCAGCAGTAACCCTTCCAAAGAGTACATAATGGTGCCTTTAAGGATATGTCCAAAAACTGATGGCTAGGGTGCTCAGCTCAGTATTGTTTAAAAATATAAAAAAAAAATTAAAAATATAGAGTAAAAGCAGAAAAAAAACGGAACCCTTCATGTGCCCATTACAAATAAAATTGTAGAAATAGCTCGGTAGCACCAAAATGTATTGAGAATATCTAAAGGCTGATTTCCTTTGGAAAAATGACGTCATCAGATCTGTTCTGCAATATATCAGTGTTTATGTAGTAATTTAGTAGCAGGAATAGCTAAGGCTACAGGTGTTGTTTGCCTTTTGTAAATCTTTGTTCTCTGGTGTTTATTTATTGCTTGGCAGTGCTATTCATTCCTAGAAAGAGCAATACATGTTGGTCCTAACAGGGAAGCAGTAATTCAGAGCAGATACCCCTTCATGCTGCCCTTTCGTGCTATCAAGGAAGCCCGGCACTAAGGTTTTCCCAGCAGCTGACCATGCCCGCTGGAAACTCAGTCTCTGATTTGTGTCTACAGGGAAGGAGAGCCCCCCAGTCAGTGACACTCCCGATGAAGGGGATGAACCCATGCCTGTCCCCGAAGACCTCTCCACCACCTCTGGTGCACAGCAGAACTCCAAGAGTGAGCGAGGCATGGGTAAGTGGGTCACCGTGGTGTCCTTCAGGCTGCGACACACCCGCAGTTAGGAAATGGCTGCTGTGTAGGGTAAGGTAGGTGTGGTCAGTCCCGCTTGCCCCCTGAAGTCACTCCCTTATATTTTTCAGGGTTTCCAAAAGTTGGGACTTGGGCAATCTGTTTTAATTGATGTGTTTGTTTTTAAGGTGGTTTTCTGCTTATTGCAAGTGGTCTTGGTGTTACTATGGGCTGACCTACTAGCATGAGTGTACCTTTTGAAACACATTTACATAAATTTAAAGGTCAGTTTAAATCGAAAGATTCAGCTTAGTCCCGGAAGCACCCTGTGTGATAGGGGTTTGTTTTTCAAGGTAACCCAGGCATAGACAGATGTTCACAACCTGCCTGTGGTTCTCATCACAAAGCAAGAGGCTCGTCCTGGGAAACAGAGGGCAATGTCCTTTGACCACATGACACACAGAGCGCCCCGGCTAGAGTCGGGCTGCTGACTTGGTTCTGATGGACAAAGAGGTGGGCTTGCCCTGCAATCCCACAGCTGCCGTGGAGCCTCTGCAGAATCATCACGCTGCAGGCAGGCTTTAGGGAACTGAAAACAAGGCCGGTTCCTGGAGAGCAGGGAAGATGTGTCCTTCACTTGTCATAGATGAATGGGTCATGAGTGTCAGCAAAAGCTGATGGGCACTTTATCCCTGTGACCATGCTGTGTTACTGGGGACCAACCGTGACTGACTCCATGACAGACGGTGCCCCTTGCATCCCGAGTAAAGCGCTCAGTCCCAGGTACGCTCAGTGTGGGAATTCCTTTGGCCTTGTCATTTCCAGAGTCTCCTCTACCTGACTGTCCCCATGCACAATTTTCAGTTCAGTTTCCTCTCAGGGCGGAGTTTAGAACACAGTCTTTTCAAACTTGAGAAAATAAAAGGCCTCGGTAATCCTTTTCGCCTGATTTGACAGTAGCCGTTGTCTTGGCCCTGGAGAGACAGGAGGCCATTTGACGTGCACCCCACAAATAAAGGAAGCGAAGGTTCTCATGGGCAACTAGAGGCCAAAGAGTCACTTGCCAGGAAAACTGAGAGAAAAAGCCTGGAGGACAGATAAAATGTGGGAAAGGGGTGAGAGGATCTGCCCTACAGATGCCCCAGCCACATTACATGGTGGCCAGCTGGTCCTGTGTGACTCTTGGAGGAGCCTCACCTGCTCCACATGTAAGCAGCAGGCTGTGGGTTTCATAACTTGCAGACTGTAACGTTCAATAGAATGGTGTGAAGATAGCATGTAGGAGAATTCACAGATTGAAGTAAATAAAGTTGAAGCAATACTTCACCACACTGTCCCATGGTATGGTATGAGAACCAAGGAGTCAAAAAAAAAAAAAGCCAGGGGACCAGGAGCCTGAAGAGTCTGGGGTAGGAGCAGAAGGCAGCAGGAGGAAGCAAGAGTCACCATGGAGACAGGGAGTCAGTAAGAGGGATGTGGTCATGCGGGAGGGCAAGTCCCAGAAAGGACACATTCCAGATTCCTAGTCCCTGGTTGTGACTCTCAGGGCAGAGCTTCTCATCGTCCCAAGCCTCAGTTTCCTCATGTGAGCAAGAGCAACTACCACATGCCCCAGGATGGCTTTGTGGGCCAGATGAAAAAAAAAAAGCAGAAGACAAAATGGCAGACAAAAAGTAAAAGGTAGGGAAAATGTATATTGTACATCCCAGGATTTACAGCCCTGGAAAAAGGGGCCCTGTGTAGCTTCAGGAGCGAGAGAGGGACAGGCAGCAGGTCATCAGGAAGAGACAATGGATTTATTAATTAAAAACCAATCCGTACATCAGGTAGTGGTGGTGCACACCTTTAATCCCAGTGCTTGGAGGCAGAAGCAAGTGAACCCCTGAGTTTGAGGCCAGCCTCATAGACAAAGTGAGTTCCAGGACAGCCAGGGCTACACAGAGAAACCCTGTCTGGGGAGAGGGGAAGGAACCCATAAAATAGGCAAACTAAAATCAGCCAGGAAAAGAAGAAATAGAACAGTACCAAAGAGGAGACTAACTTGAAATCTGAGTGTGAGCCATCAGAGTGGACAGTTTGGGGAGGCATGGTCAGAACTGACCAGCAGTGAGGGGAGGAGATTGGGTCACTCGATGGGAGAGAGACAGGCCTGCTGTTGATCCAGAGTCTGTAGCACCAGACAAGAGCAGACCAAGTAAGAAAATCATCAGTGGGAAACACTAGAACTCAATCCCCAACTGGTTAGTGGGTCATTCCCAGGACTTGAAAGTTAGGGTTTCACACACTGCTGCTTTTTCTAATGATGGGCCGAAAGGCCGCCCTAGATCTGTGTACAAATATTGGGACAATGACAGTCAGAAGCAGAGCAAGACACGCACCAGTACTGGGCCTCCATTTTCTTCAAGGTCTGAGTAAGAAGAAACAAAAGATTGGAAGGGCAGCTTGAAGAATTTAAGTCAGACCCAAAGGAGAACTTTCTGGCAAGCAGGGATTTAGTCATCAGAATGGTCTACTTAATGACAACTGTGGCTTGTTCTTTCTGAAGTGGTCTCTTTAAAATGGAGAGAACTCTCAGCGCTCTGAAGTGGTTGTGTCTGAAACCATTTGAAGTTGGGGAAGCGCTCATTGACCTCTTCAGGCAGCCCTGAGTTTACCAAGTCTTGGTTGTTTGCTGTAGGGAGTGCAGAACCCATTGCACTGACACAGAACTCCAGGGCCTCTGGAAGGCCTTCCTGTGGGACAGTGTCCAAGCTGAGGTCTAGAGAGAGCTGGGCAACTTGGGAAAGACTCCCCTCCTTCGCTCAGTAATACGTCTTTCCGGGGAGTTTTCTCCTGGTTTGAACTTGCTCTTGCCCCTTGTGACCGAGAAGGGACCAGAGCTGCACCGCCCTTCCTACCTGACAAGCTGAGGACTGTGGCCAAACTCTGAGAATCCAGAGCACCACTCCATGATAAATGTAACCACAGGGATGTCCGAGCAGAGGGAGAAGAGACCTGGAGTGCGGGGAAAGGGATTCCAGGCTAACAGCACAGACAGATGCTATGAGAAGGCCAGGCAAGGGCGGGGCTTAGCCTAGAGTCCAGGGGAAAAGCCAGCAGAGGCATAGGCCTGCCCAAGGCTGGACTAGGTGTTCCCAAATCACCCCAAGTGGCAGCTTCGGGGGCTGCTTGGCCCCTGACATTGGGACAACTTTGTACAGAACCCAGACAGAAGGAATGGGAGGAACACTGCGAGGGTGTGTGTATTCTAGGCTGCGTATCTTTCCATCATCTCCCTTTGAGTCCATCTCAGTCTGGTCTTCATCTGCCGGCACTGAGAGCGGCTGGCCCTGCACAGCTTCTCCCTGAGTGCTTGAGCCAGAGTCTGGCTCTCCTTAGCTTAGATGGAAGTGGGGAGAAAGTACAAAGTAAAGTGGGCGATTTCCATTCCACTAGAGAAATAAGGACGTGTGTAAAAGCCTCGATCCTGGTTTTTATTTTGTTCGTTTGTTGTTTTTTGTTTGTTTGGTTTTTTTTTTTTTTTTTTTTGCTCCATTCATTACATTGATTCGGCTGTGAGGGCAGGACTGAAACAGAAACTATAAGCAATTCAGACTTTCATTGCGTTTAAGCAGTGTAGATGGTGTTGTGTTACATGAGGGCATGTCAAATATATTGACACATATTTTGTAACCTGGAGCCAAGGTCCTCTCCTATGGAGGGGGTAGCGTTGAGCTTGGGCTTCGGTTGGCAAACCAACTCTGGGTTTCAGTGTGGCGTTTCAGACATACTACTCCAGCACCAAGGCTTCTCCCCAGCACTACTGTCCTTACCTTTCTCCTGTCTCCGTGGTCAGCTTGAGGCAGGCAAGGGTGGTCCTCGGGTTGGGTGGCCGCTATGAGGATTCCCTTAGGCCTAGGAGAGGGGAGAGGGGCTGGAGAGAGTTTTTCAGGACTTGAAGAGAGACAGCAGGCCTGGCTGGAGAGTGGGCAGCTGGCTTCAAGTACGGATGTGAGCCCCCCTTATCTAATCAGCAGCTAGAGGAAGTTGTTCTTATCGGTGAAATGCATCTCTTCTGAAGCGATAGCCCCACTTCAGCTTGGAAGAAGCGTTATCTGGCAGTATCTGAGCAGCTGCGGCGAGTGCAGGGACCGAAGGTGCAAGGAGGTAGCGTCTCCAGCCTCTGGAGCCACTGCTGACCCCGGTTTCTCTTCTCTGGGGATGACTGGAGAATGTAGGTTGACTTTTTGTGCACTTTGCTTTCTCTTTCTTGCTCCCTTGTTCCTCTTCGGAGCTGAATGCTCCATGCTGTGGCTTCAATGGGGCAGATCTGCCACAGTCTGTCCATCTCTACCTTGGAATGCTTGTAAAAGCCACTGGCGTGCCCCTCCCACTCCATAGGCATATCCCAGCCAGCCAAGAAGTATCCCTTTTTCATGAATTTCTCAAAACATGAGATACTAAATAGTATTATAAAAATGGTTTTCCCCACTCTCTTTCTCTTTCCATGTTTGGCCCAAGAGGCTGATGGGTATCTGCAGCCTTCAGGAATGAGAATTGCAGACTGCCACCCAAGCCCTCTGCCTTCTGCATCTCCCTTAATCTGTCAACTAGTGGGAATCAGTGATCTTCACTGACACTTGGTTATGCCTGAATTTGAAAGTGACTCTGTGCAACACGTGCCATCTTGGGTTGGGCCTGGGTATATACAATGCAGACCAAGCAGCAGAAATTTAAGACCATCCCTTAGAGGAAATGCAAATTGTTCTTTGTCAGCACCCATGTGTGCATGCTTACTTGCTTCTATGTACGTAGAGATTATGTATTATATGTATGATGGATGCATGTGTGTTTGTTTATGTGTGTGGTAGATATGTATGTGTTTGTTTATGTGTTCTTGTGTGTGGCATATGCATATATATGTTTATCTGTGCACATGTACATATGTGTGAATATGGGTATGTAATATTTTATGCATGTGTATTTGTGATACATAAACATGTATGGTATGTGTGTGGTGTGTA